GTGTTGGTGGCAGAGGAGAGCAGGGAGGAGAGGGTAGTTTTTCTCCTTTAAACCCAGATCCCTCCAGGAGTTTGGACGCAGCTACTAAACAATTCAATTTGTATGACCACGAGGGTGGCAACTGAAACGGGCTCTGTCATCAAGGGAACAGCCCTGTGAACCATGCCATCCCCGCAGAGGCAGCGGGTCCCTGATGTTTATCTCCGTGGTTTCACAGTATCTCCATCTAAGGAGACTGAAACAACAGTTCTTCACCAGCTCTTTGATAGCAGTGCAGAGCCAGAGAGCAGCTGGTGCCCTCAAAGGAGGGTGCACGCTGCTGCTGTCGCGCACAGCAGAGGTCTGCCCTAAACCTCAGCAGCACACGATAGTTCAGCTTCTAAATCCTATTTTGAAAATAAAAGTATCTGCTAAGCGTACATGTAAAAAGGTGCAAACTTTCACCTTTGTCAACTCAGAGAGGTAGAACAGCAATAGAACAGATCAGATGCCTAAAAAATCTATTCAGACTAATAAAGAGCCCTTGTACTAATAGTGTTCAGTGGGGTTTTTTGTCTTGATACACAGCCTAGTTTTGTCACCTACAAAAAAAAAGACTAGGACAGACTAGAATCTTCACAAGCCTTTAAAATGGGTCACATTATTCATCACTGAAGAAGAGGCTATCCCAGTATTAATTTAATCATAACTGCTAATTAACATCTGACATTGATTTCACCTAAGAAGGAAATCAGTGTAGAAAATGGGATCTCGCTGTAGAAAATTTAATCTAATTGTAAGAATGATTTGCCAGCTGCAGGCTTTGAAAGGGAAAAAGAACAGGACAGCTTTAATGAAAAAGGAGATCTACAATGAGCATGTCTTCCAGCGTGGCATGAAGAGAGTTTAAAACATGATTTGTGTCATGAACCGCTATTGCACTGTGGTGGTAACCAGACTTTTCAGAAAGAATTTCAAGTCTGCTATCAACGAAGCCGAAACATTCATCTCCCAGCAATCTTTCTGCAAACACCCAATATCCTTTCTGGATCGAGAGTCATTCTAAAACTAAAAAAAAAGTCACACCCATACTTTCTACTCTTACAAGTATCACTCAAGCACTATAATGAAAACAGCATTAGAGATATACATCAATTTTAACTTCTACATCTAAAAAAACCCATATGGGTAAAGCAGTTTGTTTGTTTTAATTCCAAGCTAACAAAAAAAATTCCTTAAGACCATTAGGTATTGCTCTTCCTTAAATTGCATTAAACCCCTTAAGAAGCGTCCAGGCTGCCAGGAAACTCTCTCAGAAGATCACTTCGTTGTCAGGTGAGGAACTCTCAGAGGAAAGATCAATATGAGAATACCACAGGCCTTTTCACATTACCTTATGGCACATATAGGATCCACCCTTCTTCACTCTGTCCGTCCCCGATGAGGGCCCTTTCTACGGAGGAGAGGACACTGGTTAGTATTCAAGGAAGAACAATTGCCAATTACAGGGTAAAGGTAAAAAGCTGTAAGAATAGGGAGATGGATAAGGAGCAGCCATAAATATTCAAAGTAAACAAATTTCAGCTGCATCTCTCTGAACCCAGAAAGCGTGAAATAATTGTGCTGTAAAAGACTTCCAGACAGGCGAAAGTAATTGTTCTCTGTCCCTGCTGCTGCGAATATTTAACATGCGAGTTGCTGCCCGCTGGCCAAGAGTGCCTTGTGCTTTGTTTCTGTAAAGCACCCGACAGAGTGCTGTAAGTTGCACAGTGGCAATCATGAGAGAGTACTGATCTTTGAAACCAGGCAGGTTTCTGTAGTTTCAGACTTTTCCTAATGAGAGATTAGGAAATTTTCACACACCGGCCTGCACAGGTAGTGAAATTGTGATTCTCATCAGTTCCACTGCTATGAAACAAACATACACGAACCCACGAGCCTCCAAAGGGAATACAGAGAACTTGCACTTTTCTAAATGCAGTTACACTGTTGGGTGGCCAGTTGCGATGAGGGGCTGTAACGCCCGATGTTTGGTGCTCTTTCCAGTCCAAAATCAAGTCTGAAACACAAGTTAGTGACTGCAGCAAGGCATTCTGTATCATCTCCCAGTCACTACGTACTTCATTTGTTATGTGGGATCATGACAGCTAAAGAGGCCTGCAGAAAGCGCTGCACTTATGAGCAACAATTTTGTAATTGCTTGTACATTTGCAGTGTAATGTATGCAATTTATTTGAAGTGCTTATGAAATTCGCCCTAGAATTGATTCAATGAGGTTATTTCAGTCTTCTTTTTCAATTCCAACTCCAAAGAATGGCCTAATAGTTCAAGGAGAAAGCTGGGCTTCCTTGATAACACTCCCTTTTGCTTGCTTTGATGCATATTTATTATGCAGGTGAGCAATTCTCCCACTTCATTCCTTTTAGCTGTGAAAGTTACTACTGCACTCATCTATGCTTAGAGACTACTGCTATACTTCATGTTTCCACTGTTGATATCAACTATTCTTACATGCTTTCTACACTCCACGTGCATTGAGAAACTACTTTTAGGAAGGAGCCACAAGAATATCTGTCTTGTAGAAGTGACAAACAAGATCAAGAAAATAAATTGTGTTTTATTAGTTAACTGGCAAGCCTAGCCTAGAAGTTAGTACTGCCACTAAGAATCCTCTCAAAGTTGTACAGAAATAGAAATACATGCACATCTTACATGTTACACTAGCGTGCAACAAAAACATTTTCTCATCTTGTACAAGCCTCCAATAGCGAATTTTTCACTTAACTCGAGGTACAAGCTGTTGTTTCTTCACTGGTTGGTAGGGTGTATCAATCAAGTCTGTATTTCTAATCAAAACCTTATCAGAATTATTTGTGGAATACAGGAAGAAAAATAAAGAGCCATGATGTTCTCCAAATCCCTGCATTTTCTGCTAAGTTCATTACCTTTATCAATAAATATAGGTTACAAGAAAGTCATCAGCCCAGTTTTTAGCAGTTAGGAAAAAAGATCCATTGCTACAGAGTAAGTAAGTGATACAAAACAGTACCATAAAGTACCATAATAGGTTAAAAACAGACAACTGCTGAAAAAGAAATTCTGCCCATTATTTTGTCTCCTCCTGTCCAGCAGCCAGCCATTTATCCTGGAATTATCTGAAGGGTGCTGTGCTTTCTGGAAGGCCTTAAGAACAACACCTTGACCAATATAAACACAGTCACCAAAGAAAAATTTCACTTCTGTAGTATCTCCTGAATCCAGGAATAACTTCCCTTTAAGAAGCAAGTTCCTAAAGAGGGGATTTCACAGGGAATGACACCTCTCCAGCTTTTCTCAGTGTCCACTGATTTGACCAGTTTGGTTACACCTGGTCACCACACTGTCCTACCCTATATCAAGGGATGTAGTTGTCTCCCACCCAGCTCCTGCATTACCAGAGCTGAAGTTCTAGAAGAATCAACACAAGACAAGTGTTTGTAACACTGAATATAAACCATGGGGACTGTAAGCAAACCCTGAAAGTTGACGCTAGTACTACAGAAGCTACTGACTGCATCCACTGTGTTTGACTGCTTTGACAGTCTTCATATCGAAAGCTTACCATACTGAAACTTCAGCAGTTTCACGTTTATCGCTAACTTTTATATGATAGGCAAAAAAAAAAAAAAATTGGCCTACTACTGCATTTAATACCCTACAACTACTCAAGGAAAACCACCCCCACAGGCAGTGTCCACTTGTTTCCGAGCCCAGGTGCTCCTCCACAGGACAGGCTTACTCCATTTCCGAGGTCTCCAGAAATTGTCTCCACAAAACTTGCATGTAGATGCACTGAGCCCCACTCTAAGATAAGCCACTAACAAGCACAATCAACTCAACCAGCCTGTTAATCCCATTTTAAGGGAAGCCAGGGTAAAGCCAGCCAGAATAAAACAGACCTAAAAAAAGCTACATGAGAACAAGACAAAACAGAGAACAATGGAGCTCTTGAGCAGGATTTCCCATTAAAAGTTGTAATGCAAATACAGAGCAGCAATCTTTGCTATTAGCTCCAAAGTAACTTCTATAAACTAAGAGGAGCATGCTAATTTAGAATTAGAAGATTTATTGTCCAGCTATAAGACTATTGTGTGTTTCAGCAATTATACAGGGATAACATACACTGAAGCAGCATGTGAACCAAAGAAAATGGTAGTTGCATAAGCTCTTTTTATTAATTACAAATATCTTCTGCCAGGCAAAAATTGAGCATCAAAGGTTATTTGGTAACAAAGCCCCAAGTTAAATGGACACATACCCCCAGCCTCTGAAGCAGGATTACAGCACTGAAACGCTTTATCACCTGCAAAAATCTGATATAATATTCTCCAATAATCTATTCTATTACAGAACATTATCCTCTTGATAGATAGTTCTTTAAAATCACTGAAAGTAAAGAGTTTATCATAAAACAACTGGCAAAGTTCTTGGAAAAGCAGAAAATCACTAGACATTAGTTGGAGAAACAATCACTGCCTGTTTGACAACTGTCTATGGGCTATGTTTAGTTCTCCTGCTGTTGATATTTCCCTGTCTTGCTCTGCAGTTTAGCAAAGGAAAAGATAAAAGGAAGTTGGGATAACCAGGTTTCCATATAGTTGTATCCAGCTACTTACATACGTACAAAGTCAAATGCGCAAGTAACTGTATGCAAGAGACCAACTAGACTGATACCTTTCTCACCTTGTGACTGCACTCAAGTTAATAGAGGTTAAAAAAGAGCCACAGATCCTCAAAAGGTAGGGCACAGTGAATGCAGTTCTCCTTCCTAGTGTTAAAAGTTCAGCTAACAAACTCTCCTCACTTGAAGGCTATTGTGGAGTAAAAATTGGAACTGTAACATTGAACACAGCAGGCAGCGATTATGCTTTCATTCACATGTAGCTTAGCTTCTCTATAAAAGGCACCACGTTATCACCAAGGTGCCCAGCAAAGCCCCGTGAGCTGATCTGAAAAGAACCAAAACTAAGTGAAAAAGACATTCTTGCTCCAGACTGATGGGCATCCCCATTTACATTTTGTATCACAGGTTTGTCTACCCAAGAAGAACGTGGTGTTGGAATCAAGCACTGTGTTTCCTTTCTCCAATGCTTTGCTTTCGCACCCTGTGCAAGCCCCCTACTTAGCGCTAGAGACTGACAACTTCAAGGTCCCCCAGGTGATTTGTCAGCATCTCAGCAGCCAAGGGCCATATTTGCATTCCTTTACTTCAGGAGCCCTTTACTACAGCTCCCAATAAGTTCACAGCTGAGCCACTGTGGTAAGCTCAGGGCAAGCAGCTGTCCTTCCCCTCTACTGCCTAATGTCTTATTTTCATATTCCTTTCTCTACCCCAGCCTTACTGAAGGAACCTCAAAACACGCCACACGCAGGAAGAAGCCACCTGGACTCTTATTTTCTTAGAATATGACGTTGAACAATTTTGTCTGGGTAGGCAGAAGGGTGCTGCAGCTCCTTGGTCTACCTGTAGCATGAACTATCTCTGTTATCTGAAACAAAGACACTTTATCTCAGTTTGGAGCTGGGAATGGAAGAAGGCAAGTCCCTATAAACAAAGCAGAATAAAAGATTTCAAGTTCTTGAAAGGCGTTAAGAGCTAGATGTCCTTACCAGCAACACCCTGCTTCTGATGCTCTTCACAAGAGTTCCATACACGCCCTTCTGACCAGAGTCCGTTTCTTTGGGTGGTCTTTCTCCTCCCCACATAGCTTGCTTAAACATTCTCTTGTTTTACAAAGAAAGTCAGCAGTCCTTACATCTGCAGATGTAGAAATGTAAACTCCTTGCTGTCTGAGCACTGGCTGCTTAGAGAGTATTGAAAAAAAAAACCCAAAAACCAACCAAACCCCCAAAAAAGGTCACTGCTTTGTCTTCCACAGAACTACACCGACTTCAGGTAGAGCATCCTGAAAAGCCAAGATCCCCCCAATCAATAGCTTTTCTAGAATAATGCATGCATTTAACATACTTGGTAAAGTAAGAGTGTACAAACATTATCTAACTTTGGCCAGACAACGTTACAGCTCAATACCACGTATTTCTTATAATTAAAAAAAGGAGAAAGCCTGCAATGTTAGTATTTGCTCATGATTGCATCTTCCTTATAGTTAAAGGAAACCTGCTTTGATTGCGCTTACCCATAATAAAAACTAATCAGAGCACGGCAATTAAGGTCACATTTGATTAAAACAAGCAAGTCTTTGTTCCATCAAACAATATTGTTTTATGCTATTATCTGGAGAAGCACACCACCTGGTACTGAAGCGGAAGGACATTTGCTGTCCATATGTAAAGAGCCAGAGCTGTCCCGGCTTTGATCCCAGACTTAAAGAACAGAATTTACTGTATATTGGCAAGTTTATTTTGTAGTATAATGTTGTAACAGACATATTGTAGTCTGATTGCATAATTACA